ATTCGGTTTTCCCAAGCAAATGCTGAGGAAGGGCAGTAGATGGTGCTGTTATTCTCTTTTTTGAGAACAGGGATGGCACAACCAGGGCTGTACACAAGGTGTTACCAGTCCCCCGTATGCCCAAATAATAAATCAGGCTCCTTTGAATCATGGGATTTGGGCTTCAGAAAATCTTCAGAATAAATAAAACAATGTCCTTATCTGCAGCTTTTCTGTTTTGATCTTTCGGATGAGATTTTGAAGTCATGTTTTCAAGCTTTTTGTTGTAATCGTGTCATTTGTAGTTTATCTGGTTTTTATGTGTTTTTTTTTCTTTTTGTAATAATGTGAAGTGGAATCCTCTAATCGTGTCAAGAGCCTACAAGACTTAGGGGAACTAAATGAAATTAAGGAGAAACACCAGGATTGTGAAACTTGGCAGGAGTTCAGATGCTGGTTTCAAAATAGGACTTGAAGGTTGTTGGCAAATCGAATGTGGCTGACCCTGAGTAATTCAGGATGCCAGGAACAGGTCTGTGACCACAAAATGTCCTACCCCATGGGTCACTGAGGCACGTGCTTGAGGGATGACCCTCCTGGCCTGCATCAATCTGGATCCCCAATTTCCCAAGCAGCACCAAACGCTGCACCAGGATGACACTTATCACTACTTTCTTTCAATGATCTGAAGGTTTATGAGGCTTGATCCTTCCGAGCAGCACTGGGAAGGGCAGAACTGGGCCACCTCTGGATTTCACTTTTATTTGCCTCCCTCTGCAACAACAGGTCTAAGTCCAGCCTTTGTAAACATTTAGTGGACAGTAATGATTGCACAGGTTGGACAGCCTGGCACCAGTGAAGGTGTCCAGCATGTGAACATGGGCAGGGAACATCCTGCCCTTAACCTCCTCCTGTTTTGAGGGGGAGTTGGCAATGCCCCCAGCTCCCTCCCACTGCTCACAGCCCCTCTCAGGGTGTTTTCTTCAGCAGCAGCAGCAGCTGCTGATACTAAGAATAGTCTTGAACAGGGTAGTGATGGTTCAGCTTTGGACTTTTCAGAAGTATTTTTTGGTATTTGGTATTTTGGCCTCGTGACCCCAGTTCAGGCCACCTGATGTGCAGCACGTAACTCTGCTCCGATTTCCCCCTTTGGTGGGGAACAATCTCAGATAACGGATAACAATCAGCAAACTGAACACAGCTCACTTTCTTATTTTAGGATTGCTGTAGACATGGTCATTAACAGCTACAAGAAATACAATAGGCAGGGCCTGGTCCTCCCACGCTGCATGTTGCCTCTCCAGAAGAGCTGCTGCCAAATCCTCCCTGTGACAGAAAAGCAAAATGGTTTCCCAAGTGAAATCTTGCTTTAGGTCTGAGGGGGAAGTCATGGCTTGGTACTGGGCAGTGCATCAAAATGAGCATCCAACTATGTACACTTTGGACATCAAACTGCTCTGCAACAACATTTGTGTTTGTAGCACGTCAGGAAGAGAGAAGATATACAACCTGGAGAAGAGAAAGCTTCAGGGAGACCTTAGAGCCCCTTCCAGTACCTAAAGGGGCTCAAAGAGAGGGGGACTGGGACTTCTGACAAGGGCGTGGAGCGACAAGACAATGGCGAATGGCTTAAACTGACAGAGAGTAGATTTAGATTAGATATTAGAAAGATGCTTTTCCCTGTGAGGGTGGTGAGGCCCTGGCACAGGTTGCCCAGAGAAGCTGTGGCTACCCCATCCCTGGAAGTGTTCAAGGCCAGGTTGGACGGGGCTTGGAGCAACCTGGGCTAGTGGACGGTGCCCCTGCCCACAGGCAAGAGGCTGGAACAAGATGAGCTTTAAGGTCTCCTCCAATCCAAAGCATTCTATGGTTCTATGCTCCTCTACACGTGTAAGCAGAGCAGCCCAGAGCACTGGGGCCACATCCTGCCTGGTCAAGGAGCAGCCCCAGGAGCATGGGGTTGGTGCTTGCCAAGGGCAGTGCTGCTGGCCAGGCACCCCAGCACCCCGCATCCCAGCATCAGTGCTGGACTAATGAAACATGTTGTAGGGACTAATTAAAGTTGTGTTGGGCCAAGAGGAGTGGGATGGGGTAAGTGGGAATGTAAGCGCAGGCTACAGATTCTCTCCCCACTCCAATAAATAGTTATTTTACATTAAATAATGTGTGGGATAAACTAATTTCATGAGCCACAGAGCAGAAACTGAAGCCTCCTCCCTTTTTGTCTCCCCAAACCCACCCTGTGTACTGAGTGGAAATACAAGCTCTCAACAGGCTCCTCTTGCCCCAAACCACACCTTCTTGTCTCACTTTAATATACTCTTCTATGGACAACTAAGAAAAAAAGTAACATTTTTACTGTTGGTTTTATTTTTGGTTTCTTTTGATAGATATCCTTTGGCCTGGATCATGATGATTGGTCATGATATATCAGGAAGAGCTTCTCTCAATTTTTAAGTTATTGACATGTAATAAGCAGGTTTCCACATAGTTGGGACCCACTGATACAAAGGTACAAGGGGCAACAACAAGTTCCCACCCCTCTTCCCATTTCAGGAGTAGAGCTGATTCTCTAAAAATGACAATATTGAATGAGTAAAACTCAGTTCCTCTTTTAATATTGTTGGGTTCTGAAATATCTCAGTTAATGTTTCAGTCTGAGCAAGAACAAGTGTTATAGCAATGTTTAATATTTGCAGAGATTATATCAGTGCTGTGTTCCTTGTGCACCAGAAGTTGGGTCCAGCTGAGGTGCAAAGATGGTGAAAATGTCGTGAGACCAGACCTTCTCCAAAAATGCCGGGTAAAATTCAATGGTAACATAAATTAGGTTGGTTCATGTAATTTATATATACAAAGCTCTCAGTCCATAGTGGGAATTTCATGTCTGACTGAGAGGAAAAGCTGAGGCCTAGGAGGATAGCTGTTGCATAGTGCATTCAATAACTACCTTTATTAATAAATAATTATTTATTACCAATGATTCTCTTGCATATTATTGACAAAGGCACAGAAGCAGCTTTTTGGTGCTGCTGACTTACCCATTGTCAAGTGTGAACTGGACAACTGTAGTGGCTGCTGCTCCCTTAAGAAATTGTCCGAGATTCAGGCTTATTTGTATGCCCTGGCTTGCATCAATTAACAGTATAAGCTTTTTGTTATGAAAATGCAAACATTAGTAGTCTGAGGGGTCTTGTAAATGCAAATATAAAACTATAATTTCAATTTCCTTTTAAGTACAAGAAAGCTTCTTTTTTATTTTTTTTTTAATTTGCTGCCACAATGATAAGTCTCAAATTTTGTTTATTTTTTTCTTCCTTTAAACACGAAATGGAATTTAAGCCAGGGAACCAGCTGATCTGAGGATATGGGGAGGCTGGAGCCAGCTGGTGAAATCTATGGGCTCCTCTTGGCATGACCAGGCTCTGAAGGATGTGGGGAAGGGTGGATGCTTGGCCCTGCAGTGAAGGCAAACAGGGCTGTGCAGTGTGCCCACAGCTGGCTCAGGGTTGGCCTCTTCAGATGGGGGAGAATTCCCATGTGATGATTCTTTCCACTCGCTTTAGGCATCTGAGGAGCCAAAATTAGGCACCCACACCTCTGCCATGGTTAAGGGAAAGAGAGAGAGACCTTGAAATGTGTCCTCCACAGGCAGCTTGGTCCCCTGAGTGGGTGACTGTCACCATGGGGCACCATTTTGGGCCAAAACTGATGGGTTTGTGCTCAATGCCATGGGGTGATAGTGGGCAAAAGAGAGCTATCTCCTCAAAAGTGAGGTGGCACCTGAGTGCATGTCACTGAGGCACAATGAAAGAATTGGAGGAATGTCCAAGGTCTGTTTTCCTTTTCTTTTTACACCGCACATATAAAAGTAAAATATGAAAACAACCACTTTGCTTTCTTCCTCCCAGGCTGGCCCCGGTATGCCCAGGTATGTGTCTAAACAGATTCCTGGAAAACCTGCCCTTGCCGAGGCACAGTCTCCAGCACTCAGGTTATAGTCTGCAGCTCCATGAAAAGCAGCAGGGGACCATTGTCATACCTCTCCTCCCTGCCCTCCCTGCCTCTGCAAGCAGGGAAACACCAGGGATGCAGCGGGATAAGTGCCTTGGCACAGGACTTCGCCAGCCAGTTGTTTGCCAGCACACAGATGAAAGGCTGAGATCAAATACAACACCAAAAAAATAAGAAGAAAAGTGGTTAGATACTGTTCTGAGCAGTTCCCTCGGGTAGCACCACTCTTCCCACTGCCTGTACCCCCTGCTCAGAGGTGTGAGCATCGCCATCCTGCCACCTGGGGTTCCTGGGAAACCTTTTGTTTTACTTCCTTGGTGATTTTTAATTAGACCCAAGGAGTGATTAACCAACATAATAGTCCCTCACCCAACTCCCAACTCTCTCGTTACACTCATTTGATGAAGGTGGTGAAGGTGGTGCTTGCTACGGTTTAGTGGTGGTACCTGGTGGGGTGGCACAGACAAACTGTCCTTCAGCCCTGAGCCCAGGGTTGCCCCGGTGGGATCTGCCAGGGTCAATGGGAACCACACACACCATGCCCCCTGCAGAAGGCCCTGTCTCAGCACATGGAACAGAGCTAGAGGGCAGGGAATAAAAACAGAAGAAAAGTGTTTAAAGCTATTTGTTGCTAGTTTTCTGCTCTTCACAGCGTTCCCACCTTTCAGGAGTCCTCCAGCCTTGGATCGGCTGGTTGTTTTCTTTCCCGCCCTGCAATCCTGTATGAACGCTAGAGGCTCCCTCCCTCCTTCTGGTCTGCGAGAAACTTTAGTTCCTAACTCTTTTTTTTTTTTTTTTTTTTTTTTAACTTCCCTCAGGAAAAAAATGTGGAGTTAATTATCTATGTAAAATGTCAGATGCAGGAAAGGGGCTGTGCTTACTTGGATATCCCATCCGAAGCGAAGTGACTGATTTCCACCCCTCCTGCTTCTTCTTCTTTTTTTTTTCTTTCTTTTTTTTTTTTTTTTTTTTTTTTTTTTCCTGAGGGGTGGAAAGGGCCTCGCGAAATAAAAGTGCAGGACCGAGCCGGTGGCTCCCAGAGCGGCCGGGGCGGGCGCGGCGGGAGCCCCCAGCGCAGCGCAGCGGAGCCCAGCGCGGAGCCCACCTGCCCCCGGGGCAGCATCGCCGGGCTCCTCGCCCCGCACCTCCTTCCCCGCGGACTGAGACCTTGATACATACATATACATAACATATATACACACATTTTTTTCTTATTTTTTTTTTTTAAATCCTTCCCCTCGGCTTTTCCTCCAGGACTTTTTCCACCGCCTTGGGACACCCGCAAACTTCTCCCCTCGCTCCCCCTTTCGCCCCCTTTGCTGGTGGTTTTGGGCTTGGTTTGGTTTTGTTTCGCTGTTTTGCTGCTCTGAATTTTTCTCCCCCCTTTGGAAGACCCGCCTGCCTCTCGCCTCCCGTGCCCCACCGGAGAGGCCGGGAGCGGCTCCGGCGGCGCGGGCAGCACCTCCCCGGCGCACGGCGTGCGAGCCCCGGCGGCGCGGCTTCGGCTCGGCGCGGCACGGCCCGGCTCGGAGCGGCTCCCTGCGGCCCGGCACGGCCCGGCTCGGCTCGGCACGGCTCGCCCCGGGCGCTCGCCCCCGATAATGCAGAGCTACAAGTACGATAAGGCGATCCCGCCGGAGAGCAAGAATGGGGGCAGCCCGGCGCTCAACAACAACCCGGCCAAGAGCAGCAGCAAGAAAGCCCTGCTCATCTGCCTCGACTGCCTCTGCCTCGTCATGGGTGAGCAACTGGGGTGGGGGGAGCTCCGCGACCCTTCTTCCCCGCTCCCGGCACCCCCAGCCCGTCCCCCACCACCGGGAAAAACTTTTGGGAAAGTTTGGCGGCGGCGGGCGGGCAGAGCTCGGCCGTGCCTCGGCCGCTCTGCTTCCCAAACAAAAGCAGAGCGGGGCCGCCGGGAGAGCCGGGCCGGGGAGCGATCGGGAGGAGCGGCCGGGCCGGACCGGGAGGCGCGGGGGACAGCAGGGTGTCTGCCGGGCACAGCAGCCCCGCACCCCGATCTGCTGAGTATTATGGATATGGTTTTATTTATGTGTCGCTCCCCACGCTGCCGCGCCCGGAGCGGCGCTGGAGGGTGGGGGAGCAGCCCGGCCAGGCGCTGGCGGTGCGCAGGGGGCACTGTGGGCTCGGGGATGCGACCCCGGGGGTCCGCCCGCGCCGGGCCCCGCACCCCGGGGCAGGGTCGGCGGCACCTCGGTGGCGCCGGGGCCAGCTCCAGGTGGAGGCAGTGCTCTACGGCTGCTCCACCGCCCAGCCCGCGGTGACCCGTGTTTTGGTTAATCATGAAAAACAGAAACTCTTGCCGCTCCAGTTAACTGTGTGCCGCTCGGGTGTCGGGTTTACCAGCGCTTCTCTCTTTCTTCCCTCGCCCCTCTGGCACATCTCGCTAAACTCATTCCTTTAAAAGTTTGAAGTGCTCTCATGCATCTCGCAGCCACTGGCAGAGGTCTGGGTTCGCCTGCCTGCTATGGCTTTTGGAGCTGCTATGGCTTTTGGAGCTGCTTTGGCATGGAAGGAAACTGTCAACAGTGTGTCTCCAAAAACTTTTTGCATTCCAAAACATTACCCCTTCCATTGTGGCTGCGATGCTGAATATTTAATTGACAGACACAGGCAGGGGAAATCAACTGGCTTCCAACAAAGAGATTAATAACACAACAGCACGTGAGTTTAATACTCCAGACACCACAGTCTTTAAAACAATTGTTTCTGCTTAGAGCCCATTTTTTAAAGACTGTCAGTTTGATTTAATTTTTATGTAGTTTATTGATCATCTGGTGTATATTACGAGGCACTAATACATTAAGAAGAGAGGCATGGTTTTCTCTTTATATTCCCACAAGAATAGAGGCCAGTGCAGAAAGCTTCATCTCCTCGGATCTGGAAAAAATAAAAATACTTGATATCCCATATATGAAACTAATATAAGTAGAAACATAACTAGCTTGATTTATCTCACCTATTTAAACAGAAGGTTTGGATTCCTGGTAAAACAACTCCTAGGAGTCAGAACTTTTAAACTTTTATTTACGCAAGTTTTCTTAACTTGAGGCATTCCTGGCATGAGTAGGTGCTATTTGAATGGGAAAAGGGTTTTGCTTCCCCTTCTCTAGACTAAGGGTCCTAAATGAAAAAGCAGTTAGTTGACATGTGTTATTCTACTTGTGATAGTTTGGGTAAACAGGACTTATCAAGCATCACTGGAAGGCATTGTTAGCAGGGAATAATGTGATACAGCAAAACTGTGATTGTTGCTTTGTTTCAGGTTACTGCAGGTGGAAATGGGAAAGTAAACACCAGAGTTGGCTTGTTAAGGGTTTTTGGTGGTTTTTTGTTGGGGTTTTTTGTTGTTATTCTGTTGTTGGTTTTGGGGTTTTTTAGAGTGAGGAGCATTTAAAAGTAAGAGCACGAATTCGACAGCTTAGATCACTGGTTTAGATCACTGGCAGGTGAAGAGCATGGGTGGGACATGGTAAGGAAAGTGATTATGGGATGGATAGCCCATGATGTGTGTTTGGGGATGGATAGCCCATGATGCGTGTTTGGGGATGGGCTTTTCAAATACACCCAGACCAGTAGTATTGGACCTGCTGGTGGATGACTGGGCATGAGTTGCTGTGAAAGCAGCTGCCCCACTCACAGGAGGTTTGGCTTGCTCTTCTCTCTGCCTTTTGCTAGGGAAGACTATGAGCTTATAGTTTCCAAGCACTTGATTCCAATTTTCTCCCTTTCTGAGCTTGTAAAAAAAAAAAAAAAAGAAGGAAAGAAACACTTGTAAAGTCGAAAAAGAGGTGCCCTAGCTGAATCCTTCCTGTTGGAGAAAGCTGGACAGGTACAGATTAATGGGTATCTACATGTTCAGTTAAAAACAAACAAACAAAAAAAAGAGTCCTATGTAAGATAATGGGAAGCACAATTGGGTGAAATAACTTCTTATAAGGTGGAGGGACTGAGCAGAGGTCTTCTCTTGTGCGTGTAGGCACAAGGCCAATGGCCTCCAGTGCAGTTAAACTGAGTTACGCCTCTTGAGTGGCTGCCCGAAGACATTCACAGAAGCAGGAAAACAGAAGGCTTTTTCTCATTTGAGGACCACTTTAGGAAATATTAAAAGTGGTCATTTGATTTGCAGAGGCCTGTGACGCTGCATTGGCTTCTACAGCAGGTACTGCCATAATTTTGGCCTGAATTGGTTTTCTCCGAGGGGAAAATGAAAAGAATGAACTATGGCTGAAATGTCTTTCAGAAATGACACACTCTTTGTGAGGCTGTAGATGTGTACAAACCCTTTGTTTACACACAAATTTAAACAAATTACCCAGAAGACAATTATCATAAACATCTAAGAAAGTCTGAATTAGTAAAGCAGAGCTATCAGGAGCTTCCTTCAGCTTTAATTTGGTGAGAGTTGTTAGAAAGATCCACTTTTGTCTTTCATCTAAAAGTACTACAATGGTTATCTTGATAGTAAATGCATAGGAGGAAGATTTTTATCTTCTTTCCTTGAGGATCTTGGGGAGCAGAGTCATGGAGCCATTGCCAGAAGAGCACTGCTGGTGGAATAAGTTGGATGAAGATGCACTGAACCAGACCCCCAATTTCTCCTGCATTTCCAACTTGAGTTGAGTTGGCAGAGAGCTGGGTTTTATTGAATAACCAACCCACTCTTCTAATGAGTGCACTTGGCACTCAGAAATCCTTGGTTTCTTGCATGAACAAGAGGTTTCATCACCAACCCTGTGAACTTCCCAGAAATTCCGCATCCGCGCTTAACTCAGTAAAAAAGGCAGAAAAGAACTGAGTGTGCATTTATTAATAAAGCAGGTCATCCGAGGGGGGAAAATAACTTTCTCCATCTGCTTCCTCCTCTCGGGAGGGCTCTATTTAGAGAATTAGAAGATGCTTCCTGAAATTGTTAGGGCCACAGGCAAGCTTGGTGGTGTGGAAGAGTCCCTGCTGCCCTGTCCCTCTCTTACTGGTCACTGTGACACATCTGAAAATGTGATTGAAAAGCTGGGCGGGTCTGAAGCTGCCCCCACTGAGCCGGTTGGTGTCTTCACATTGTAGATCTGTGGGGAACTGAGCAGCAAAACAAGAGGCATGATGGGAGGACCTCACTCCACCTTCATCTGATCATCCTCAGCCCAATCACAGCCTGTCCCTTTGCGAGGAGTTCCTTCCAGCTCCTTCCTGGAGCATGGAGTTGTTACAGAGGGGAAAGGAACTGGGGTGACTTTGGCTGGGGCAGGTCCCATGGGGTTTTCCCCAGTACCATGGGGTTTTGCTGCCCAGATGCAGCACAGCATGGAGCTTCTGCAACCAGCCACCAATCTCCTCCTGATGCAGGAGATGTGGGCCAGGTGGGGGAAAGCCTTCTGCCCATCCCTTAAGGTGGGATGTTTGGTAGCCCGGTCCCACAGATGTAGCATCTAGGGTTAAATTTATTCCTCTCAGACCTGCTTTTTTCCCTTGGCAGAGACTCCTTGTGCTCAACAAACTCTGAGCAGCCACCTGTGCTCTGCTGATGGGTGCTAAGTCAAGCGTTTAATCTCGGAAGAGGGAAAGGCTGTGTCAGCAAGGGCGATAGGGCAGATGAGGGTCTTCAGTAGCTTGTATTTGTGCAGCTTGCAGGTAGAACAGCTTCCAAAAAGTCTTGCTTGTGCCATAAAATAGAGGGATTTCATCTGGCATACCTGCTTCTGAGGCTTGTGGAATTTGGCTTTATGTGAGCATATGTTTCAGGCTGGTGGGATGTAAACTGCACATAATTTACTGCCCTTCTTATTTTCTGCCTCTAATTTAATTTTCTCTCTTCTGTCAATCCCAGTTAATCTGTACAACACAAGTTTTACTGCCTTGGGGAGGTTTTTGAAGCAACAGATGGATAGACCTCTTACAACCTTAATATCTCTGCAGCTTTCTCACAAATTTGGCATCTCTTCTGTAACAAACTTGATGCTAAAATGAACTTTGAAAGTAAATATTTACACTAACTGGACCTTGACATGTTTATGTAAGTGGGGATATAATCTTATAATTTGGGCTAACAGTTTAGATTACTCTTAGCTTTCCTCTTCTGTGTAGAAAACTGTGTCATCCTCCAGCTTTCAGAACAAAAAGAATTTGAGCTCTGCCATGGGCTCTGTCGCTTCATCGCAAAAATTGGTGCAAACAGGCCTGGGATTGTCATTTAAGTGTAAGGAGTGGGAGGAATTAAAGATGAGGGGTGAGGTTAGAGTTATTTGGATGCTGTAAAGCTGGATTTGATGAGCTAAGCAACTTTGCTTTGTTTGGGTTGGGGTTGTTGTTTTTATTTTTGAGACTACCCTGCTGTGCAGCACTCTCTTGTTGTGTAGGTAACATCTTTCTATACACCTGAAGAAACTGCTGAGTCAATGATTTCTGATTTTCAGCAAGGGACAACAAGATCTGACTGTACTAAACCAGCTGGACAGTCCCAACCCCTTGGTGTTGCCTTCTCCATGATGTGTCTTCTCTGTGTTGGGGAGGACTGAGTCCATACCACATGCAAGAAGCTGTGTGGGTGGAGAGTCGTCATCGTGTTTTGGGCATCCCTAGATGGGGTTTGGTCGTTGATATTTATGTATCATTTAATATCTGTAGGATCTCTTGGTGGCCATGAGCTCCTTGCGAGGCAGCAGGGATGGCTGGTCTGGAAGTGCTTTGGCAATGGCAGGTTGGCAGAAGTGGCGTCTTGGCATGGG